CCGCGGTAACCCCAAACTCTGCACCTAACCTCAACATTGCTCATCTGGCTACCCCACCACTGCGTGGACAGCGGTGTTTAAACACCGGCAGTCTGTCTTTATCCTGTTTTCTTAATGGTCAAGTTTCTGCACCGTACAGCAGAACTGGCCGAACTGCTGCAGCATACACTCGACCCTTCACAGACAACCGGATGTCGCGACGGTGCCACACATGTCTCAAGTTAGCAAATGCCAACCGAGCTTTCTGTATGCGAGCTGACATTTCATGCGCGATGCGTCCACCGCGTGAGATGTAGCCGCCCAAATAACAAAACTTATCCACTTGCTATCCTTTACTTCCCCAGTTAGGGTGAGGCTGGGTGCTGGACCAGTTTTTTAGTAACATTTACACTTTGAAGGTGCAAAACGCATACCGAACATGGCTCCGCTGGCACTCAAACTATCCAGAATAGCTTGCAACTTAACTGAATCTTCACTTAGTAGCACAATGTCGTCTGCATACTCTAGATCAGGCAGTCTGCCACCTGGGAATAAATCGGTACCGCTATCCTCGCACGAGGATAGGGCTGTTTCAAGTATTAAATCTATAACAAATTCAAATATAAAAGGAGAAAGGGCAACCCTGTGGAACACCACTTTCTGTAGTGAACTCTGGTGAAAATGTGCCGTAAGCTCGGAATCGGCTTAGGTTATTATTGTAGAGGGATTGTAATATTGAAATAAACTTCTCGGGCATACCTTTCAGGGAAAGGCAGCACCAGAGTTTAGAGCGGTTGACTGAGTCGAAATCCGCCTTCAGATCTAAGAAGATAGAGATGATGGGTCTACGAAAAGAATGCCGGTGCTCCAGAATTTGGCGCAGAGTGAAGATGTGGTCGATACAAACTCGTCCGGGTCTAAAACGAGCCTGGTTCTCACGCGTGCACCGTGCGGAAGATAATCGGCGGAGTATGATGCCAGCGAGAAGTCTAGAGGCAATGTTGATTAAACTAATCCGTATATTCGTTATTCGCAGGAGGATCTGTCACCTTTCTTGTAAATCGGTATGATCACCGACTCACACTATTCAGCTGGAACCTGTTTCTTTCCCCACGCTGAACCCAGGAGTTTTGTTAACTCCGAAACCAAGGCTGAGCCTCCATCCTTAAAAGCTGATGGGGACAGCCCGTCGGAGCCGGAAGCCTTATTCCTTTCTCGGGTAACCTCTATTTCAGATGGAAGATTGGTGTCAATTGGCAGTATTTGCACAGTTGAATCAGGTGTAGGGAGGTTTTGTGCTGAAGAAAGCCAGCAGAACTGAGTCTTAAAATGTTCTGCCCATCGATCTAGACGGCGTTGCTGAATATGGAGCAGTGTGCCGTCGGACTCCTTAATTACCTCACGTCTGCTTTCCTTCGACCTGTACTCCTAACTAATCGGAAAATATTGCGACTATAACCGATTGCGGCAGCCTTCTCCATCTCTCGACACTTTCCTACCCACCACTTCACGCGGTCATTCCTCAGACTCTTGATGAGCTGGCGTTTAAGGGAGTTGCGCGCTTTGTCGTAGTTTGAATCCGAAGGAATGGCTNGGCTTTGCGAGCGTCCAGCAGGGCAACCGAAGTCGGGGAGATCCATCGTTTTTTATTTGATCGTGAGTCAGAATTGGCTATTGTTTCGATTGACATTTGGATCGCTTCCTTGATTACCGTCCAGTGCTCACTGAATCCTCAGGCTGATGGTTGAGCTGAGAGACGATCTGATAGTTCCGCTTCGAAGACCGATTTGCAACCATTGGTGACATTGTATCTTGGGCATCCGTTGTCGGTGGCTATTTTGCGTTTGTTTACTAGGCGTAGAGAGAATCTCCATCGTAGCAGAGCATGTTCCGTGTTCACGGTTGTTGACCAGTAGGAACGGCAGTCTTCAATGGATCCTCGTCAGCTGATGGCAATGTGGTCGATTTGAGTCCAGCGCTGTAAACAGGTTGGCAGTCTCCATCTAAGACGGGTGTTTTTTGTGCGAGAAGTTCTTGATTGACAGAAACAGTCCGTGGTCAGCACACAGTTGGAGTAGGCGTTCTCCGTTTTCAGTCTTGTTGGCTGGGATTGCATGTGAACCTCGAAGTAGCCTCTCTGATTCGTCCAAGGACCCCACACTTGAGCACTGAAGTCTCCAGCGACCACCACGATGTCCGTTAACCGAGCACTTCGGAGCAGTCGAGAGAGATCCTTGTAGAATTCATCCTTCACTTCTGTCGGTGCATACGCATACGCAAGTGTTGCGGACTGACTAGAACGCACACTTTCATAAGACGAACAGCAGACGGGGAAAGCTCCATAGCCACGAGTTCAGTGATGGAAACCGGTAACCCAAGCCCCGGGACTTGGAGTGGCGAACCACATAAGGCCCCGATAGGTTAGGTGTGGTATTGAACCAACTGGATGGGGAGAAAAAGCCCTAGTTAAACAAACGACCTGACAGTGTGTACCCAAAAATGATAGGAAATGTCACTTTTATATGATTTCGTTCAAACAATCTATGTTTTCTAGTTTACTATTTCACAAGGCATTTACACAGTTCCTAGTCCATGGATCAACATAGTTTCCTGGATGGATGTACACAGAATAATTTCTCTTTCTACGATTGGTTGTGACTTCAGTAATCGCTGGATAAAGATTACTCGCCGTGCTGCTCTCACTGACGAATGTAGAACGGAAAATTTGAGTGCCACAATGATTTTGGCGTGCACTGCATTGGTACACACATATGGGTGTCAGTGTCTTGAAATCATTTATTTTATTTTTCAAGATATCCAAATATCGTTACCCCGATGTCTTAACCGAAACTTTGCTGCTGTTTACTTTTAGTT